TTTCTTTGCTGCCACCCTTCCTTCCTCTTCTTTCTATGATATTACGTATCTTTTGGGATACGTAAGTTCTGATCCTTATACCCACAGGAAATCACTAAAGTCTTGAACATAACATAAAATAATTTATTAGAGTAACAGGGAAGTTTATAAAATCCTTCAGGAGGCTGGCTGAGCATCTTAAATAAAATAGTCAATGTACATTTTCTTTTGATGTTTGCTATCAGCACCTAAACAAGGGTGGAAAGCATCAGTGTCCACCAAAGCCAGAAAAAAACAAAACAAAAAAAACAAAAAGAAAAAAAAACAAAAAACAGACATCCAGGTTCCCAATATGACACCACAAATTAAGCAAAGGTGAATGACTCTCTCATTTGATCTTTTCTTAAGGAACCTGGATTGTATAGGAAAGCAAATTACAGTTTATTCCAGATGAGAGATAACAGCTGTTGGGTCTCAAACCTGGGACAAAGTGCCAATTAACATATCTAGGTGGACTCGGGCTGCCAGCCTCCCTCCCTGTTACATGGCCCTCCTGGCTGGCATGCCCTGGCCCCTATCCTCAACTCTCCGGCCAAAAGGCTGGACTGTCCTTCCCTCAGCTGCTTCTCCCTGTATAACCCAGCCATTTTTGGCTATGCCATTCTCTTGGTCTCCTGGTTTCCTGGTCTCATGGCTTATTCCTGGCCTCTCTGGCTCTCCCTGTCCCCTCCCCCCTTTCCTCATAGTTATGTTCACTCTGAGCTCTCCCAGATATCTCTGCCTCTGTCTGCACTCTTCCTAGTATCTATAAACAAACAAAGAAACAAAAACCTTTCAATCAGTTAGGAATATTTATTTTTTCTTCAACGGCATTATAGTTTCATTTCAAATGTAGACTGTACTTGTGTCTTGAAATTTCCTTGATGATCTTTGTTTGCAGATACATCTTACCTTGCGTTGTCCAGCAGCTCAGCCAGAGCTCCAAAGAGGAAACTGTGAGTTGTGCTGGTGAGGAAATAAAGGGAGAACAAAAAGGTCAAGACGGTATGCAATCAATTAAGGCTTAAGATATAGTCAAATGCTCTCCTGTTCTGAACAGCTCACTAATTAAGAAGGGATGGAGCAGCCTTACCAGGCCACAGAAGATGACAATGCAGCCACTCCTGATGAGATCTGATAGACTAAGATCAGAAGGAAGGAGAGGGGGACCTCCCCTGTCAGCGGACTTGGGGAGGAGCATGCATGAAGAAGGGGGAGGGAAAGTGGGATTAGGAGGGAAGGGGGAGGGGCTTATGGGGGAATACAAAGTGAATAAAGTGTAATTAATAAAAGCTAAAAAAAATAAAAATTAAAAAAAAGGGATGGAGGATCTAATTATGGACAGGGGAGGGAGAACAACACAGAAGGGGGAGGGAGAGAGGAGGGACAAATGACACTACAGATGCTTGAAAAAGACACAGGGAAGTAATTATATTTACCTAAAAATACATGTAATATCTATGAATGTGCATCACATATACAATTAATTCTATTTTAATTAAATTTAGTTAAAACTTGCCGAGCACAGTCAAGACTCTGAAGCAGAACCTGCATTTTGCAAGGCTGGGATAAGAACACAGTATTTTTGGTTAATTTTTTAAAGTATCTAGGGGGGTGATTTGTTTTGTTTGTGGATTTTTTTCAAAACAGGGTTTCTCTGTGTAGCCCTGGTTGTCTTGAAACTTGCTCACTCTGTAGACCAGGCTGACCTTAACCTCAGAGGTCCACCTGCCTCTGCCTCCCAAGTGCTGGGATTAAAGGCGTGTGCACCGCCACTGCACAGCTTCTTTTCCACATTTATTTGCTTATACTTTTATGTGTATGCCTGTTTTGTCTGCGTGTAAGTGAATGCCTGGTTTCTGCAGAGACCAGAAGAAGGTGTGGGATCCCCTGGAACTGGAGTTACAGGTGGTTCTGAGCCACCCTACGGGTGCAAGAAATTAAACCAGGGGTCCTCTGGAAGAGCAGTCAGTGCTCTGCACTGCCAAGCCATCTCTCCGGCCCCTTTGCTTGTTTCACTGTTAACATTTGTTAGCACAGAAAGAAAAAACAAAACGCTTCAATGTAAGATTTCGTATACCCATATCAATATATTTTGTTCTACAACATGTTTTCCCAAAACATCCTAGTAAAAGGGAGACACCAAAGGAATATATTATTGCTACAGAACAGTTTGATCTTTTAAATTTGCTTCATAAATATGTATTCAAGTGAGGTTTTTCTCATTTCTTATTAAATAATAGTATTTAAGATCAAATTATTTTTGGAGAGTTATTTCCTAAGACCTGTGGAAGCAGAGGTTGGCAGGTGCCCTGCTCCCCCCATTGTCTGTAATTTTGAGTGGAGCCTTTCCAATGCTGGAAAGGTGCTTCCCATATATTTGTGGTCTGTCTCCTGAGCCCTAACGCCAGGTTCTCTCCAGAACATGGTGGGCTTTCACTGCGTCCTCTCTTTCTAACACTTGCAGGGGGTGAGTGAAATCTGGGCTCCCTTCAGGGTTAGATGCCTGCTTTCCGTTTCCTGATGTAGACACTTCAGCCACGAACCTTATCACACCATTAGGGAAAATCCGGTTTTCTCTTTATATGTAATACATGCACCAGAAGCAAAAGAGACATTTACATAAGCAAATGCAAACATACACACACACACACACACACACATATACACACACTTGTACAAGGGAAAGGAAGCACAATTTTAACGCTTAAAAACTTCAGGCCGGCAGCAGCACCTTACTTGAAAATGTATTTATGAAAATATTTCATGCCAGGTGGTGGTGGCACACGCCTTTACTTCCAGCACTCTGGAGGAAGGGGCAGACGGATCTCAGAGTTCAAGCCCAGCCTGGTCTACAAAGTGAGTTCTATGACAGCCAGGGCTACACAGAGAAACCCTATCTCAAAAAAAAAAAAAAAAGAAAGAAAATACACAAACATAACCCCATTTTTTTTTTTTTTGGAAACTTAAACTTCAAACACTGATGCTAAAAAAAAGACTTCTGAATAAATTCATCTTTAAAATTTTTCAATTCATTTAAAAATAAGTACTGGGAAAGAAAGAATGAGAGAGAGGTGGGAGACTAAAGGCAAGAAAGAAATTTCATGTGTTTTCTCTCATATGTACAATCTAGAAGGGGAGGAGGGAGACCAACCGGAAGGAGAGGGGGAGACTAGAGTGTGTAATGAAGGGACATATAAGCAAAGTACAAAGACACGTGTAAAATATCTTATTAAACTCATTATTCTGTAGGCTATCTTTGAATTAATTTTTTTAATTCTCCTGTTAATATGCAGATGTCCTTTGCTAAAAAAAAAAAAAAAAAAAACTAGTATAAAAATTAAAATGTAGAGGCTGGAGATAGGGCCCAGTGGTTCAAAGCACTTGCTGTTCTTCTAGACTAAAGGATCCGAGTTTGAATTCAGTTTCCAAAATCCAAATGAGGTGCTGTAACTGCCAGTAATTCTAGTTCTGAGGGGTCTGACACCTTCTTCTGACCTCCACGGACACCTTTACACATATGAAAGACAAACACATGCTCAAATTATAAATAATTGTTTATTATTTATACTATTTTTGAATTAAATTTTAATACATGACCAAACCCATCAGAAAATGGTAGTAATTCTAGACAAGCATTCTAACACTAAGGTATGCTCCTGGCTTTTCAACGTATAAAACTTCTGATGAGAACGGCCATGTGCTTTTCTGTTCTATCTCATTCAAGAGATTTTTGTAAACATTTGCCCATATCTCCATTGTGTACAGACGGGGTCTTTACTTCTTGGAATTCAAGTCAGGATCGAGAAGGAGGTCATGGGGTACATAGAAAACAAGACAAATAACCATAGTTTCCAGAGCTTGCTCAGGGCTACCTTCACAGTGATAACAGGGAAGAGCAGCCACAGAGTAGGGATAAGAGATCACAGAAGACTGTCACACCTGACAGTGATACCTCTGAAGGTATCTTCTGACCCCTGAAGATGAGAACTCTATCCTGTGAAGGGCCAAGGTGGAAACTCTCCAGACAGGGAAAGATCCCAAAGCGGAAGAGTGATGGAGACTATGCTAAATCTTTGATGGGTACAGAAAACAGGTTCAAGTGAAGGCATGTCTGGGTCATGCAGGAAGTAGAAAGGGGTTTGTTCAGGCCCCGTGCAAGTGGAAAACACTGTAATGTTTTCTGATGAATGGCCTTTCTACCCAGGTCCCTTTTCAAAAGCTCTGCCTGGAAGCTTTACAAAACCTGGTACTGCAAAGCACTTGGTTAAGAGGCTGTATGGAGGGTGATTCAGAAAGGAAGTGGTGTGGCTCGGGCTGGAGTCAATGGCAGCAAGGATGGAAAGCTGTTCAGTGCCTTAGAGAAAGCATGAGCTTGACTGCAGGATATGATTCTAGGATGTGGAAACTGAATGTTGAATAGAGAAATCCCAGGACTGGAGAGGATGGAATGGGAAGGATCAAGTGTGAGACCGCCCCGGGCTGTACAGCAAAACCTTACTTAAAATGTCGAGCAAAAAGTTTTTACTCCTGGTTGTAAGGAAGAAGGTCTACCAGGGAGCTGAGGAGATGTCGATTTGTTTCAGAGTTCCGGTGGCATCGTGATGTCCTCTTTGTTGTCATGCCACTAGCTGCAAACTGAGCTGCAGAAGTCGGTATCACCGGGCAGAATGTGGGAAAGTGGGGCTGGGACTCAACAGCAACAAAAATGACACACAACAAAAGTGGGGCTTTTTCTCAACCATAAAATTCACAGTCTTCCGGGAACTGGCTCACGCCTTTTCTTAAACTCACTCAAAACTGTTCCTTTTCATTTGTCTTCTACCTAGCGGACCCTTCCTTCCAGCTTGATCACCATTTTCCAGGACGGGCAAATGGGCAAATATCTGCTTGACATCACCTATCCTCCTCTGCTACCTCAGAATCTCACAGACTGGACTACACAATACGACCACCCTTCCCTGGCTTTCTTTATCCCTCCATTCCTGTGGTTCACACTTGCTCCATCCATTAGAACAGCTGGTCCTTTCAGCAAACAGCAATTTTAAGGTAATTCCTAAACACCAACACACCTTATGAACGACAAATCAGTCACTGTTGTACTGTGCCGAACTCAAAGTGACCAACGACACAAAAAAACGCAGTCACTTGACCCCACAATCTGACTGCAGCGGCCTTCTCTTAGCCACAGTTTCTTTCTGTGGATTTTCGTTGTCCTTTTGTCTGTATCACTCCGAAAGCATTGGCTGGAAAGTTCCAGAAATAAGCTGTCCATAATTTCAGCGGTATACCAGGCTAAGCAGCATCAGGATCTGGCTGTGCCCCACTTCATCATGGTGTGTGGTTGTAACTGATTTATACTGTTGTTCTTGTTCGTCTCTTACCCTAGCTCTTTCATCGACTTTATGGCGGGCATACAAGCACAGGGAGAACCAAAGACATACCAATACATACAGACTCTTATGTCCAGTTGTAGTTCCATATTGCCCCACATTTTAAACATGCTCTTTGGAAGTCTTCGTCAATTGTCATCGTTAAGAACAGACTATACTATTTCTTTTCTATTTTCTTTTGTTGTTGTTTTGGTTTGGTTTTTGTTTTCTCGAGACAAGGTTTCTCCGTGTATAGCTCTGGCTGTCCTGTAACTTGCTTTGTGGACTAGCCTTGAACTCAACAGAGATCCTCCTGCCTCTACCTCCCAAGTGCTGGGATTGAAGGCCTGCACCACTGTGACCGGCTCTTTTTTATTTTCAGCTTTGGGGGGGGGGGGGGGAGTGTTTCGATGCATGCCTAGTGCCTAAGGAGAACAAAGATGGCGTTAAGAGTTACAGGGGATTGATTGTGAGCCGCCCTGTGGGTGTTGCAAATTGAACCCTGGTCAAATGGAAGGGCAGCCAGTGTTCTCAAATGCTGAGTCATCTCGCTAGCCCTGACTACACCATAGCAGCCAAAAAGAAGGAGCAAAATGCGTCTTACTCAAGCACAGACAAACAACTTTAGGGTCATTCTCCACAGCTGTTGAAATCTACGAAGGCGAATTACCCTGTAAAGCAACCTGACTTTACAGTGTCTTCCACAGCGTAGGAATAAGGATAGAAAAGGATGGGGAGTGAGTAGTTCTAATCTCCTGGCCAACATTTAAATTTGTTAAATGATAAATATGGGACCAACGTTCCACTTGGTTTTAACTGAAGAGCATCAAAATGATTCAGTCTGTCCCTGGGTGTAGAGTTATTACTTCCTCACTACATACTCACACGCGGTAGAAATACCTTCCTAAGTCAGTCCGACCAAGTTCATTAAGCCTTTTTTCCAATTGAATATGGCGGTAAGCACGCGGACAAACCCTACCCCATCCCAGCCCCTGTGGAAACTCACGAGTTTGCGTGGATGAAATCCAGATGCAGTTTGGCCCTCTGCAGCAAGGCATATTTGTCCATGTCCTCAGGCACGACCTGTGGGCACGGAAAACACCAGTGCTGGGTCCGAAACTGTAGCCCCACCCCCACTCCGTGGGCCACGCCCACGCCTTCGATGGGCGCATGCGCCTCCTGGTGTCCTCAGCGGGAAGCTCACACTGCCCTGTAGCACTTGTCTGGAAGGTTGTTGTTTTGTTTTTCCTTATTTACTTTTTTATTTTTTATCTTAATCACTTTCCAGCTTGATCCCAGGCCCCTCCCTCCTGCCCTCTCAGACTTGTCTTTGTGCTCTCCTCCTCCCATCCCCCCTTCTTCTTCTCAGAGAAGTAGATGAACTGTGAGAGAAGGGGTTGGGAGGGTCACCAGGGGGATGTTGTTTTGTTTTATTGTTTTGTTTTTGTTTCTGTTGTGGTTGTTTTGGGACTGGGTGTCCCTTCATCGTCCTGAGTATTCTGGAATTCAAAGTGTAGATCAGGCCGGCTTCAAACTCACAGAGATCCGCTTGCCTCTGTCCTGCAAATGTCGGAATTAAAGACCTGTACCACTATGCTAGGCCCTCCTGGGCGGTTCTTGATTGCTTAGTCGGCCTCTGGGTTTGGCTTCCTTTCAGAAGCTCAAGGTGTCTCTTTCATCACTGCTCATCTGAAAAATGGGGGATTGGAACTGAATCAGAAGTGAAAGCTCTTCTCATCCCCCTCCATTTCCTCTGTTCCCTCACCTGAATCTATACGAATCTAGCGAGTGCACCGCATGAGGCCTGCAAAGGGAAAGCCATCTCTTGTCTATCTTGGGGATAATTATGTTTTCTGCATTTGGAGGGGAAAGAGAGAAAACAGCAACCAATAGGAAGAACAGATAGCAGAATATAGACTGGCTGCAAAGTAAGGCGTTTCCCTCCCCACTTTGACAGTTGTTGCCACCTGGAGGAGCCACAAGCATTTTGTCACAGGCATTTTCTGTTCTTCACACCCGAATTCAGCTCTTTGATGTGCTGCCAAGTTCCATCAGCATACTCACTCACCAGAGCACTGAACTCGGAGTCACCGAAACCCAGGAGGAAGCGGAGTTTGTGAAGCGAAACCCAGGAGGAAGCGGAGTTTGTGAAGGGCGCTGGAGAGGCGTGACTGATAGGCTAGGAGGTGACCTGACCTCTGCGACCTCTAAGATGTAGTCAGGCTGATTCAAAGGCTAAGGTTTCTTTGCTTGGAGACTAACATGGTTCAGTTTTACTCAGCAAATATTTCACACGCTGTTCTCAGAGTCCAAAATCCAAGTGTGCTGAGCAGAATCTGAGGTAGATGTTTGGTGACTTCAAGGTGTCATCCTGGCAATAAAGCCCTCAAAAAATAGAAATGAAAATTTTAAATGTGAAATAATCATCCTGTTTCGAAGAGAGGGGTTCTTTTTCCAGCTGCTACATTTATAGGAATCTGGAGAGGAAGTGAGCCTTGGAATTGCAGCCCTAAGGAACGGGATGCTCTGCTTTAATTTGAAAGCTGGAAGTGAACGTGAACATTTCAAGTAATTTCTCCTGATTGCATTTTTGTTTTAACGGTGGCTGGTGTGGTTGGTGCTGTTTCAACAGCCACATTCTCTTTGCTGAGCAACCTAAACTGTCTTCCCCAAATTATCCTTCAATAGATCTTTACAAATGATATTTATTTTCATTTTTATGGGAAAGAAAATCTTGACAAGCCTCTTCTGGATTCATTTCACAATTCGGATTTACAACTGCTGTCTCAAATCAACTTATTTCGGGGGGTTGGGGCACCGGAGCCACTGGGCTGTAATTAGTATAGGCTGTAATGTCTACCTGAGGAAAGGGATCCAGTTATCACAGAAGCAGTCCTTCTAATAATCTGAACGGAGCCTTCCTGCCGTCAGTGGCCAGCCCCAAAGCACTGGGCAGTAATGGCTGGTGTGATGACAGTTGGGGTGGGGGTGGGGTCATGGATCTGTTAGGTTATGCTAAATAAGAAGTCTAGAGTCACAGTACACCATCCCAAAAGCCTTCCTCCTCCCTGATTTCAGCTATTTGTCAGGCACATTGTACCATAAAATCTAAGCATATTCCTTTTCCAGGTACGCTCAGGGGAGTCTTTGTTTTGCTTATTTCCCTCAACACTACTTCAAGATCCATTTTAACATTATTTCATGATACAGACACTGACAAATGAACCAGCATTTTATGATTTTTGAAAAACATACTTAAACTCAGAATAAGGTTGATAAACTTGAAAATTGAAGTTTGAGTTGGCATCCAGAATAAGCTGCCATATCAGTAAGAGCTACAGATTATTAGCTTGGCTACTGGAAAGATGACAACATTTGAAAGGGTCAATGACCTGTTGTAGATGTAAACATGTTTTTTGTTTTTTTGTTTGTTTGTTTGTTTGTTTGTTTTAACCCAGGTGTAGTCTGTGGGAATGATTCAGATTGTCCATGGCAACAAACTATCTCCCTCATGAAAGCTCTGAGAGGGGCTCTTTGTCAGCTGCAGATAGTTTACTTCTAAGGACTCTGAGAGGGAATAAAGGCCAGAGCCCAGAGAGTGTTGGGGGGGCTCCGAAAAAGAAGAAGGGTAGAGGTGCTCCCCTTTGCTGCTCCTGGTTGCTGTTGATGCAGTGTGACAAGGAGAAGTTGGAGCTATCCTAAAACAAGGATTGGACTTTCCCAAAAGAATCCTACGACCCTACCCAGCAGGAAGACCTAAAGAGGGCTACATCTCCTTTCCCTTACAACTTTCTTTTTCCCCTACCTGGGGTGGGGGGTGGGGGTGGAAGGGAGGTGGATAGTTTAAGAAACCCCCCCAATAAAGTAGCGTTTGAAAAACTAACACCTACAATGACCCTCACTGAGACAAATCCACTTATTCTGAAAACTATGTATAGCATCCTTGCTAAGTTTCTTACATTCCTTCAAGTCTGAGTCTCCTTACTGTGCCTTCATCTCTCCCGGTTTACATCATACCAGCCAATGATGAGTGCCATCACAGTTCCTAGTCACCTTTGCAACTGCAATCACAGTTGTAGCACAGTGATAAGCAAGCACCTCTAGGCGATGTGGGAAAATAAGAGGCCTGGAGCTTTCCCAAGCATAGCAAGGATGTTAGAGATGAAACAGGTGATTGCTGTGAGTAAGCAAACCCAAGAGCCGTTCTCAACTCTTCTTTCCGTCACAGAGCTGAAAACCCGCTCCCTTGTGCTATCTTGTCACTAGCGATGCTCACCTGAAACAGGCATCGAGACTGAGACAGAAGCAGAAAGGGCGTTCGGTGGCATCTGAGATGGCCTTTGCTCTCCTGATAAAAGCTGTCACACAGCTCCAGGGTTCCTTTATGAAGCTAACATTTATTTGTGTGTGCATACACCTGGGACGTGTTTGTGCATATTTGTGTGTGTGTGTTTATGTGTGTTCACGCAGGAACCCCCAGGCACCATGTGTGTGAAGGTGCCTGTGGAGGTCAGAAAAGGGCATCAGACCCCCTGAGGCTGGAGAGACAGGTGGTTGTGGGTCACCCATCACCTACTGTTAATCGTTTTCCAACCCCTGTACATATATCCAAGAGTACTTCTAAGTGACTTTGAGAAAGTACTGGGGTCACACTGTCATACGTCACTGGGCAGCTACGGGAGAGTATGTATTACTGAGGGGATAGTTCCGGCTTTTTTTTTTTTTTCCTACTTGGGCTGAACGCGTGTGACGATGGGTCAGCAGGTATGGTAGATGTAAGCAACCAACGGCACAAAAAGATAGCAGAGACAAGATGCAAGGAGCCAGAACTTGGCAACTCGAGTCGTCAGAGTGAAGTTCCATCCAAACAAGATCAGGCTGCCCGGGAAAGACGGGGCACTGGGAGAGCAGTGTGTGCAGTGGGGTGAGGCTCCTGACTATTGTGGTAGTTAGTTTGCAGACACTATGGGCTCATTATGCAAATCAGACACTTACTTCAGGAGAGGTTGTTCTTTATAACAATATCAAAATCAAGTCACTTTGTTTGTCCTTTCAAAGGGGGAGACAAAGTGTATACGTGTAAGCATTAGCTGCCATTCCATTTACTCACAGTATGAAAAATACAGTTCAGGGAAATGATTGTTCATAAAATGTTTGGGAAGAATGTGGGGGTCTAAGTGAAGGGCCTCCCGCTGGATAAGTGAATTCAGTCTCGTGACTCCAAAAGCACACAGTGGAAGGCATTGTGACAGCTGTCTCCAGTTACCATGAGGATGGCCTCCAGCTTGTGGGATTCGGATGTCGGCCACTGCCTTCTAAGGTCACATCATGAGAAGGTGTTTTCAGATGGCAGGAATACCCAGGTGAAAGCTAAGACTTCAAATAGGACAAGACAGGGGAATGGGTGGGGAGACACGAATGTGCACGGCCTGACTTAGCTCTTCACAGATATGACAGAAGCAGAAAAGGAAGCAGGAACCAATACTATGTTTTAGGTGTTCTCTTTCTCTTCTGAGGATATGACCTTATTAACAACATTGTGCAAGTCACAAAAAATAATTATTAGGTTGAGAGATTAGGAAAGAATGAGTTCCTTTTGGGTATGGTATAACTTGTCATTAAGCAGTACATCCAAATACAATGAAATTGTCAATGCAGTTTAAAAAAATATATGCCTCCCCTATCTTTAATGGAAGCAGATTACAGGTTGTCATTTTTTTTTTCAATGAAATATAATTCTGTTTTATGGAAAATAAACTCTGTTGAGCCAGAGTCCCTCTGAAATCAGAAGCTATAAAGCTGGTAGCAATTGAAGAAGTCGGATAACGAAACTCATTATTTGTGCACACCTTTAATTCCAGCACTCAGGAGGCAGAGACAGGCTGATCTCTAAGAGTTCAAGGTCAGCCTGGTCTACAGAGTGAGTTCCAGGACAGCCAAGGCTACCCAATGAGAAATTCTGTCTCAAGCAATAATAATAACAATTGAAAAAATATACAGGAGGAGAGGGGAAGGCAGATAGACAAGGAAATGCAAATGTTGTAGCTACAAGTTAAAAAAATAAACAT